TTTTCCCTTTTACAAACTGGTATTTCTAATCAACATTTTTAATATATATATTTTTTTAAACTAGAGATTCCAGCTCTGGGTATTTCCCCAAGTGGATTTCATAGGAGAGTTCGTTTTGTCTGCAGTATTTTTAGGAACGCCTGTGGTTAATGATGCGCTTTTTTGCCTGCTTGCAGCCCACCGTCCAATTAAAAAAACAAACGGCCACTCTGATTGGCTCCTGGCGTTCTGCACCAGTGGCCTGGCAGGTTGTCCTGGCCAGTGCAGGAGACTAACCTGAATCTTGGTGACTCCACCCCTAAAGAAAACAGGGGTGCGAGGAGGAGTTGTAAATCAAGCTGGCTTTTTAATTCAATATTCTAAAAATATGCTACTAGAAAAGAACTACTCAGCATGGCTATGTATTTATTAAAGTTGCTGAAAGGTCACTGAGTTAGCCACTGAAAAACAGACATGAAAATGCGAATATCCATTAAAACCCAGATTTTTCTACGTTTAGGTTTTTCTTTTGCATCAGGTTCACACAAAAGCCAATGGACGCTCTGGAGGAATAGGCCTGAACAGCAATGAACAGCAATGGGCTGTTCATTCGTGGAGCGTCTTAATTCTGATAACCCCAAATTCAAGTTCTTGGGGTGGGTCATGTCAGGTGGACTGTTGCCTAAATCACTCAATGTTGAGTAGACTCAGAGGGACATCTGATTAGCCCTGAAGAACCACTTATCACTAAGATTTTTGCTCTTAAGATGAAGTGGGAGATAGAAAACATAGTACAGAAAGAATGTAGATAGAGTTTTGATGGTGAGAAAGAGCTTTCTTTTTTCAAATGCAATTTTTTGATTTTGAGGTAACTGTAGATCATTTGTACTTATAAGAAATAATCCAGAGGTTTCCTGCTTACACTTAACCCAGCTTCCCCCAGTGGTAACATCTTACAAAACTAGATGAACTCGCATCACCACTGTGATCCTAATGTCAACATCTCCAAGGTACAGACCGTGTCCAACCCCGTGAAAATCCCTCATTTGCCCTTTTATAACTATACTCACTGCCTCTGCAAGCTCCCTCCAATTCAACCCATGAATGGGTTCTCTATTGCTATCATTTTGTCATTTTATGACTTGGAGAAGTTTTCAGCCATTATTTCTTCAGGTCATGTTTCAGTTCTTGCTTCTTTCTCCTCTCCTTTTGGGCTTTATTTTATTTTTATTGTAGTCCTCAGGTCCCAGAGACTGCCATTATTCTGAGTTTATATTCTCCCTGATAAACTGGTTAATATCTATTTTTCTATCTTTCAGTTTACTGCTTTTCTCCTGCATCTCCTCTATGCTGTCTGCAGCCCAGCCATGCATCTACTCTACTTCAATTATCGTATTTTTCACTTCTAAAATTGCCATTTGGTTCTTATTCACATCTGTTTCTTTGCTCAGTTTCTCTGCTCCTTCATTTATTATCAGCTTGTTTGTAATTGTTCATTGACATGTTTTTTCTACGTTTGTTTTAAGTCTCGATCAGATAACAATTTTTTTTTTTTTTTGTAAGAAGAGCAGTAAGGTATCCTAAGAAATTCTTGGACAGTGGGATAACCCTCAGATAATGAACTTCTTTTTTTTCTTTTAGATTTATTTATTTATGCATACTAGAGCTGGGGTACAGGACACAGGTGTGGGGTGGGGGAGTGAGAGGATTCACCAGAGACAGAGTGGGAAGCAGAACAGACAGACTGACTGAAATCCACTGCTGAGGGGAGCAGCAGGCGAGACAGGAGAGGTCTGCTGTGCCATGTGGGTAGCTCCCTGGCCGCCAGGGATCGAACTTGTGCTACAGAGGCTGCAGATTGCTTCACAGTGCTGTGCTTGACCCCTTGCGCCACCAGAGAGGCCTGATAATGAACTTGTTGTTGTTGATTTTACTTTTGTAGAAAGAATCATTCTCTTTTCAGAGAAAGTATTGATTCATCAGAATATAATGTAAGGCTTGCCTTTCTTTCCAAGGGGAGGGGACACTGGCCCTTGTGTTTTCAAAATACGGTACTTTATCAAATAATGATAAGATCTCTCATCTCAGTATTGGCTTCTGTTGCCTTTTACATTTAGATTGAAATCTTCTGGGTTCTTGTTATGATGAGTGCTTTCCATTGAAATTTAGAATTTTCATAATTAGTAGGAGACTATAGATCTTATATAAAACCTTCTGCTTTACCTGTGCCATCACACAACTGCCAGGTAGGGGCGGACTTCCAGGTTTCCCATTCAACCACTGTTGACCAGAGTCCCAAGGGCTCCTGCAGGGTGCTGTGAAAGTTCTGGTTCTGCAGAGCCCCATGACTCCGGGATCATGGCGAGTGTCGTGATTCTTTTCTAGGAGTCCTTTGATACCACTCTGGCAGGAAGGTGGAAAGAATCTGGCTTATTTCCTTATGCTGGAGATGGATGGTCAGCATGATGGGGTCAACCTTATTATGGACCTTGACTTGGCCAGGAATCGTATCTGGGTGAAACTGATTCGCAAAGGACAGGAACTGGTGCTTCCAGAACAAGGAGGAAAGGTTCTGGGTAGAGGGGAAAGACAACCCTGGTTTAGTACATTATTATTCAAATGTTGGTTGCCTTGCAATGCTTACTTGTTGTTGTTTTTTTTTTTTTTTCTCTTTTAGTAATTGTGACTGCTTAGAAAGAGAGAGAACACGGAATAACATCCAAAGCACATGATCTCTTTATTCAACATTTATTTGGCAAGTACTTATTTAATGACTACACTGTATTAGGAACTATGCTAGATAGTGGGATCATAGGGTGAAAAACACACCATCTTGTTCCCAAGTTTACAAATTTGTATTAAAAGTTGAGGGGATAGATTTGGAAGCTGTGTAAAGTGGAATTTTTGGCTAAAAAATTTATATACTATCTTAATTTTAAACATTAAAACATATTGTGTAAATACACCTTTATTTTTAGTGGAATGGTGCTTTTCTTTTTGCTCAATTATATATTTTTAATTAACTGTTACACCTTTACATTGATGATCACAACATGTATTTATATTCTATAACCAGAAGGATGTTAAAAATCAAGTTTCTATTTCTAGTTCACTTTAAACTGGGATTTCCTAAACTGGGTTGTGCCTGTTCCTCATGATGGCAGGCAACTGAATCTCGGAGATATTGAGAAATTTTAATTTCAATGGAGATGACTATGGCTGGTCACTCTAATTTACTTTTTATATTAGTTTTTCTCTTGATAGTAAAGACCCTGGATGATGACCCAACCTCAAGAGTAGGACAGTGACGCCACAATGAACACTGGCCATGTCAGGCAGTGGCGTGGAGAGTAGACCTGAGATCCTGAATCTACCTGGGCCACTCTAGACATTTAAACTCTTTAAGCCTCAGTTTCTTCTCCTGTGAGTTGATTTGCAGACTTCAAAAGAAGGATCTAGAACATTAGGAAAATAAAAGTATAGAAAAAAGCAAGTTGACATCTCTACACCAACCAGTAAGATTAGTTTTCATTGTTCCATTACTTTACGGTGGGTTTATCTTTATCTTAGCCTCCCAGATGATCAGCCTCCAAATTTGCCTTTTCATATCTATAACATAGCACATGGCCAGTAATATGTGCCCTTTTTCCTACTGTGCTGGGTCCTTTTTTTTTTTTTTTTTAAAGATTTATGTATTTATGCATACAAGAACTGGGGTGCAGGTGTGGGGGCGGGGTGAGAGGATCCACCAGAGACAGTGGGGAGCAGAACAGCAGACCTCCTGAAATCCACTGCTGAGGGGAGCGGTAGGGAGACAGGAGAGGTCTGCTGCGCCATGTGGGTAGCTCCCTGGCCAGCCAGGGATGGAACTCGTGCTGCAGTGGCTGTGGACAGCTTCATAGTGCTGACACTTAACCCCTTGCGCCACCAGGGAGGCCCTGTGCTGGGCGCTTGCTTCCCTACCGAAAGGCCTGGGCCATAAGTGTCCAGGTCATTAGTAAGATGCAATGTTATAAAGTTCTAGACCTTAACCTTGAACCGAAATAAACATTAAAAACTCCCTTTTTCCATCGATGGAGGCATCCCCAAGGGGCGACGGCGAAGCTCTCGGAAAGCCACATGAATCTCCAAAAGAGGCTGCCATGTGCTGGACCTCGGTTAACCCTACCCACCAGGGAAGAAGTCAGAGGGACGGGAGGAAACACTCTTCCTGGCCCCGAAGCTCTTCGCAGGTCTCAGCCAGGACACCTGGTGGGGCGGGCAGCCTCCCTGGCGCTCAGGTGACTCCCAGCCAAGTGGCCCTCAAGGTTTCCCTCCCTCTGTCTTGCACTCCCAGCCTCAGCCCCCCAACGTGGGCGCCGCCGGAGCGCCCCAGCGGGCGGACCTGACGCTGCCTGCAGACCCGGACCCCGAAGCGAGCTCCCCGCGGCGCCCTCGCGCCGGGAACGGGCCACCCTTGCAGGCGGCCCGCGGGGTGCCGAGGCCGCCCGGCGGCTCCCCTCGCCAGCCAGCCGGGGGCCGAGCGCGCGGGGCCCAGCGGCGAGGCGGCGCCCGGAGCCGCGTCCCCGGCTCCCCCTCGGCGGGGCCGGCGGCCCCGGGGCCTGCGCCCGGGCTGGGGCGCGGGGCGGGAGCCCCGAAAAGGCGCGCTGCCCCTTTAAAAGGCCGCGCATCTCCGCGCCGGCCTCCCTCCCCGGGGCTCCAGCTGTGATTGACGCTGGGCGGCGAGAGGAGGCGCCTGGCGCTAACAAAAGTCCGGCCCGCGGGCGAGCAGCGCCGGGCCGCGAGTCTCGCTTGCTCCGGGCACCCGCAACAAGTGGCCGCCGCGCCCTCCCCGGGGAGCCGCGGGTGCGCGGGGGCGCGGGGAGCAGCGGCCGACCCCCGAGCCCGGGCCGCCCGCGCGGCTCAGCGCCCACCGCGGGGGGATCGGGGCGGGCGGATGGGGACCCGGCGGCGGCGGCGCGGCGAGCCTCGGGGCGGCCCCGGGGCGCGGGCGGTCGGCGGCGCTGCGCCCTCCGGCCCCGAGCGCGGCTGCTGAGCGGCCGCCGCCCCAGCCCCACCACCCGGAGCCCTCGGGGTGCCGCGCGGGGACGCCGCGCCCCCTCCCACCGCAGCGCAGCGGCCACCCCCGGCCGGAGAGCGGCCCCGGAGCGCGGGGGATGCGCAGCTAACGGTCCCGTCGGGCGGGCTTTCCTCGGCGGAGCGCGCGGGCGGTGCGCCCCAGCTATGGAGTGTCCGGGGAGACGGCGGGCATGACGGCGGCAGGATGGGCGCGAACAATGGCAAACAGTACGGCAGCGAGGGTGAGTGGGCCGCCCGTCCGCCGGCGCCCGGAGCGCCCCCCTCCCTTCCCCTCGCGCGCCCGTCTGGGGAGGAAGGTCCTCGCCCGCCGCCGTGGCGCACCCCCACTTGGCACCGTGTCCGCGCCGTCACCTTCCCGTTGGCGCTGCGCGCCGCGGCGCGCCGGGGATGCGCTCCCGCCGTGGGGGTCTCCTGGAGCAGCCCGCCCGGTGCCTCCGGGACGGCGCGGTAGCCCTTGTGCCTCGTTTTTGAACACACGCGCCTCCGTTTTCCTTGCTGGGCATCGGGGGTTTAGGATGGTCGCTTGGCAGATGGTGAAAGACGTTTTTGGAAAATAACGCAGTGAAAACTTTCCCAGGCCTTTGTGCTGCGCTTCCCTGGGCTCTCCCGTAGCAAGAAAAACTTCTGGAAGAAGTTAAGTTTCCACTCTCTGCTCACTGCCCCTGGGCGGACCACTGCGTGAAACTGACCACCTAGGGCCCCGCGAGGCGAGGAGTAACTGGGGGCTTTGTCTGGGCTCCCTTGGGGCTCAAGACGGGCAAAGGACCATCTGTTCTGAGGGGCTGGAAATTGCACAGAAATATTGCCTGTCAAGTGGGAACTTGGAAGTTGGGGAAACTTTAAACCCCACCTACTCCTAAAAGGATGATGGATGTGTGGGTTGGCTTCTCCCTCGCCCCTCCTCCCGCTCTTTGCATAAAGCCTAACCCTGCTGATTAACTGCATGCCCCCGATGTGCACAAGGCAAAGGCATTTCCTGCAGTTCAAAAGTTAGGAAGGTTTGTCTTCAGTGCGCTTGGCTGGCTGGGGGGCCGTGGAAGGCCCGGGCGATTTTACCGCCCGCCCCCAGAGGACAGGCGGTTGCAAATGGGGTCCAGCGCCTGCAAACTGGTAGGAATGCAGAATAGCTATTCAGCATGTGGTGTTGGGGGATCGCCTATCATCCTGTTCAAAACTTGTAGCTGTGGCCACCGCATGTGGATGTTGCCCCGAACTTGTGTCCCTGTGCGATTCTCATCAGCTTTGCGAAATTACCGCAGAAATCGACCCTAAAAGACCAGACCCGCAAGAATCTTATGTTTAAATGATTCTTTTCCAGATCATCATGTTTCAAATTACTTATACACACACGTGATACATATGTGTGTATGCATATATATGTGTACACACACACACACACACATATGCAGAGTTCCTGACCCTGGGCAGTTATGTGAGATTTTCCGGGACATTTTCATTTAAAAAAAAATGTTTAAAAAATTGTCTTTTTTAGATAGCAGACATGAAATTATGCAAAAAGATATTACTGGGGAATCTCAGCCCCTCCCCCAAGCTTCTTGGAGTGAATGTTTTTAAAATTTGTGCAAACATGAAAGATGAGGAATGAAAAGCACAACTTCCCACTCTGAGTTATTCAAAAGCTTCCAGGGAGTAAAGTGCTCACTTATCAACACCAGGAGTGCAGACTTTGTGCTACTTGAATTGTGTTTGGGGGAAAGAGTGTTTGGCTCCCAGAGGAACGTGGAATCCCTGCCCTGAGTTCCTGAACACAACCTCCACACTCTCCTAATCCACTGCAACTTGTTCGAGCCCAGCATTCTTGTATTGTGCAGTGTGTGGTGTATGACGACTTCCTGTCTGAACAGCAGAATTTGCAACCCTTGGGAGTGAAAAGGAGAGACAGAAACTAATGTTCTCCAGCTGTTATCCGTAAATGCTACCTCTGCATTTTCACTTCAGCCCAGTGAAATTTTACTGGGATCAGATTTAGATACACTGTGGACTTTTTATAGGAAAAAGCTCTGGGGCTCAGCTGATTCAAGGGGACCAATAGCAAGTTTTGGGAGGTAACTGAGTTTTGGCTGGAGGGACACACAGTGTTTAGTTTACATCCACTCTTTTCCAGTGCATCGAGATTCCTCTGTGGTAAGCGAAGAAAAAATAGACAAATAGAAGCAACATGAACTTTGGAGGAAAAAATCTTTTCTTGCACCCAGTTACACTGAACCTCTCCTGGAAGAGGATTCCACTGCCTATGGAAATGGGTACGGTCAGCTTTGTGACGCTGAGTTCACGGGTGGCAAAATCTGTGCAACTAAACCTATTGGAATGTGGTTGCCAGTATCATCTTTTTTACCTGTTCACATTTCAAAGAAAGTGAAGCCCACCTGGTCACAGTAGCTCTGTTCTCAAAGTGGACGAGAATTAGATCGTTTTATTGAATTAGTGCAACTTAGGTATGGATCTTGAAACCCCCCGGGGGGGAATTATTAATGAATGCATATCTACAGATTGCAGTGAGAGATCATGCAACTCAAAAGTATTAGTATTTGTGTATACTTTAAAAATCTTCAGTATAAGCCTATTTTACAGTTGATACCACCATGTAAATGGAAACCAACTTTAAAGTTACAAATATTGTTGAATCGTTAGAAAGGTTGAAATTTCAGTATTTCATATATAATCTCACTTTCTCTTGCTCCTGGAAAATACCTTTTTCATTAAAAAATGGTACTCATGAGGCTCACCTTGGCAGGCGCAATTGGGGCAGAGACTTCCTACTCTGTGTAATACGAGCCCCAGCAGCATCGCTGTCACGGGGGACCTTGTCATAAATGCAGAATCTTGGGTTCTCTCTGGAACTGCGAAACATTTGTCTTGTACATGTTAAAGTTTGGGGAGTTCTTGTAGAGACCAGAGCAATGACTTGGGAGTCTGCAAATTTGATTTTAGCTTCACTTTAGCTACTGTACTATTGCTCCATTCCCCCAAGTTCACGGGATCTTACTTCTCTAGGGAGAGAAGAAACAGCCTTTATAGGCAATATGTAGCAGGATCTAATCCTTCAGCCTGCAGGCATTCATCATGGTTTGTTCTTATAATGAAAATGCCTCAACATACCACTTCATGTGATTAACCTTGGGAAGACATTGTAATAAGCAGGGAAGGTAACATTGTTATTACAGGGAGTTAGCAAGTACCTCCTTCCCCTTTTGTCACCCCCTTATCCTTCACCTCTGTCTACCTCACTGCCTCCTACCTCCTCTCCTGTCAGTCCTGAAACCCCTGTTCCCTGCCCCTACCCCCACCCCTCTTAAAGTGTTGGAATCAATGAGTTGTTTTCAGAATGTTTTGTTTTTCTAAATAGTCAACATTCAGGTCAATGGTTTAATTTTTCTCCTTACTGCTTTTAGGCAGACCTGGATTTAGCTCCAGGAAAAATTTACCATGAAAATTCCTGATCTTCAGCTTTCTAGAAACATAAGCGAATGTCTAAATGATTAGTATGTTCTGGTAAATTATTTTACGGAGGGCTGTTTTTTCTCTGTATCTTCTTTCATAAAGTGTAAGTTACAGCCCCTGCATAGAAATCTGGAGAATCAGTTGGGGTGATTCAATGCCATTAGGACCATTAGCTTTGACTGCAGTTAAGCCAAATAAACAAATCTTTCTGTTCAAGTAGCCACAGTCTAACTGCCTTCTCTGCCTTTTAAGGTCTCCGAGCTTACCCTCACTCATAGGTCTCATTGTTATGTTTATTCTACTGGAGCAGGTCTGAGGCAGAAATACTTACATTGTTAACAGCTCCTTTGCAAAAGCCTGTGTGTTGTTGAATTGAGCTGGTGAACTTTAGGGATGGGGTGTGACCCTTGGTAGCTCTGCTCCTCCATCACGAAAGGCCTCCTGTCCCTTTTAACCATCTCAGATCTGTGCTGTCAGGTATGAGGAGAGCCAGTTGCCTGAGAGCATAAATCATCACAAGCCATCACCACCTTGAGAAACTCATCTTGACAAAATAATACTGACAGCAGCTGACATTTATTGAAGCTTACTGTGTCCAAGCGTGATTCCAAACCCTTGTTAGATACTGACTCATGTCATCCTCCTGACAAGCCTCTGGGCGGGCGCTCCCATGCTCCCCCTTATACTGAGGCCAGGGAGCACAGGTACTGAAGGATGATCATTGCTGGTATAGGTGGAATTGGGATTCAAGGCCAAGTCTGTCTGAGCCCAGAGTCATTTATTCTTCCATTTAGCTAATACAGGTCAACCTCTTATTTCCTGATATGCACCAGGAACTCTTCCAGAGTCCTGAAGTACAGGAGGAACATCAAGATTCTGTCCCTGTCAATTCTGTGTTTGTGTGTGTGCATTTAGAATCTCTGTCTGCTTGTGTGCATGGATGGGTGTATGTTGGGGGGGGAGGGGAAGTGAAGCAATTATACACACACACACACACACACGCACATGTTCATTCAGTAAACCCTGTGATATGTTTCAAGAGGCCAAGCTCTCTGAATAAAGTTATATTAGGATTACTTGGAATTGGGAGGAAGAGGTTGTTGCAATTTTTATTAGAGTGGTCAGCACGAGACTTACTGAAAAGTTTGCATTTGGGCCAAGATTAAAGGAAGTGGATCTAGGTAGCATGTTGACTGTTACTTTGAACTACTGTGTTATTTATATTTATTTATAAATTTTATTATATAAATTATATATAAACATGTTTATCATATATATTTATATGTAAGTATTATATATACACATGCATATATGTGTATATATATATATATATACACATATATACATATATATGTACTTGCGTGTATGTCTGCTTGTGCCAAAGTGGAAACTACACATTGGAGGGCACAAATCCTTGTTTTTATGTAAGTGCAGCATCATTGCTCACACACTGTCAGTTAAAATGAAACAGTCTACCGAGCCACTGGATATATTTTTTGCCTAGAGTCTTTGCTGATGTGTTTCATCCAGTTATATCAGATGCTTTGTAATTGATACTGGTGTATGTGCTGTATGTGTTTATGTGTATTGGGGATTGCCTAGGACTTCTCTCCCCTTGGTTGACTAGAAGTAGCAGCTGCCTGATGTACCGTATTTGTAAATACTGGCCTGGACATACCTCCAGAGGTTTCTGTAGTTCTGTAATAGAAGTAAATCTTTGCCTTTTGCCTCCAGTCAGTAATTTCACTCTTATGAAACT